GCATTCCTTAAGACCCTCAGTGTTTATAACCCCAGAGTGGCGTTTTCCCTGGGCCCAGCCCAGCTTTTCCTGCCGTTTGGAGTTGGTGCTGACCACTGCCTCTTGTCCCTCCTCGGTCCCAGCAGAAGCGAAAGGCACAGACTCTCTAAAGGGCAGAGGACAGGCCCTAAATTCTGTCCTCTCTGCTTCCCCTCTGTGTATCCACCTCCCTATCCACCTTTCTCTCCTTGAGCCATTATAAGCAGTGAGAACAGACCTGACAATGAACAGACCCTAAATGTCTCAAAAGCCAAAAAAGCTAAATGGGCTGGGGCCAGACTGCTCAGACCAGGCAAAGAAGGGGTGGGACTTTTTGTGACTGACAGTCTTTGCAGCCTGAGCCCACCACCTGGCACCCTCTGCAGACAATATCCACTTTCACAGGAGGCAAACCAGGGGCAATCACTAAATAGTCAAAAACCAAATAGAATTCCTCCTCGAAGGACCGAAGGCAGCCCTAGGAGTAAATAATTTAGTAAGAGAAAGCAGCGACAGTTGACTCTACAAGTTCCTGTTACAGCCATTCCCTGGGAGGCTGCCGCCGCAAAGCACAGGAGCTTGTCTTGCTCACTCTCACTCACGCACACCAGGCACACCGGAAAGAGGACGAGGACGCCCGCGCTCAGTACCAGGGCGTGCACATGTGGAATGCAGCCGAATTTCTCACCATCGGCGGTGGGCAACCACGTCTGAGAAGGGCACACCCGCTGTTGGCATCCTACCCCAGTTCTCTGAAACCACTCTAGGTAACAGGTATGACCTTCAAAAGAGCTTATTTCCCGTTTAGTTTAGTGCCACAGAAACAATTTGCTTGGGTGGCGGCGGTGGGGGGGTGGGGGCGGCTCATAAAAACAACAGAACAGAGACTTCCCCAACTGCGGCAGAAGGGAGGGAGCTGCAGACCTTCTGCACCTGCCCTGATGGGGCCAGCCACTGTGGCTGCGGGTGAGGGGACCACCTCATTGTCACATCTACTACCCGCTCTCTGGCCGAGGAGCTCTCCTGGCATTCTGAAAGGTGTTTTCCCTTCTTTTCAAGGCAGCACTTGCCCACTAGTTCCTAGTCCACGTGACTGTCACGTCCTGCTGACGCTCTCCAGGGGCTGGGCCTCTCTGCGGCCTTTCCATGAAGCTCAGAGCAGAGGATGCTGCTCTGCTGGTGAGAGGCTGGAATGCTGACAATGGGCTCCCAGAAGGGAAAACACTTCTCTGAGGCTCCTGGAGCTCTGTGCTGAATTTGCTGCTGTTTCTAGTGGTGACCCACTACCACTACTGACAACGCCAGTGTCACTAGCAAAATTTAAAGTCAGTTTTTCCATGGATACGCTTGATCTTCCTGCAAACGTTTGCGGAGGGAGGTGGAAGTCCTCTGATCTCAGCCCCAGCTGGGCTGGGACAGGCCATCCGGGCTCCTCTGCTCAGAGTACTGCCATCGTCTGGACACGCAGGGGCCACCTGGCCAGCCGATTGGTGCAGACTGTCCTTTAGTTCTCACTGTCACTACAACTGCAACCAAGTCACAGAGCTGAGCGTGGGGAGGAGTTGCCAAAGAGGTGGTCTCCTTTCTGTTCATTGATCTGGAGTCGACGCCACTTCAGGCAAGAAGAAATGCTGAAGACACTAGGTGGACTCTGAGGTGGCGAAAAAGGCAGTATGAGCGGGTTACACTTGGCGCTGTCCTGTCCCATCGCATCTGCCAGTGCTGGAGACATCAGCGCCTCTGGAGACACAGGACTTGCCTCTTCCGTCTTCAGAGCGACACCTGTGAATGTCCTCCCTGCTGAGAAGGCAGCCAACATCTGCCTCGAGCACCAGCTGTCCTGGTTTATCTGGGCACGGCGACGTAGCTCCTGGACCCGAGTTCAGCCAGGGCTGCGGGCTGAGGCTTTAGCCCACAGGCTCTGGCCTGATCTTTCACACCAAGAACCATTTCCCTTGAATACCAACACAGGAAGCCGTCGATCTTTCTTGAAGTTAACAGACAGAGCGGCAGGTTTACTCTTCGAGGGGATTAATGTAGTAAGCGCTCCAGACCTATAGCTGTTAAACTGTCTACAGATGAAGACCTCGAAGATACATCACCCTTTGTGTTTCTTAGATCTATAATCAAACCTGCATTCCACATGTAAATGAAACAAGAAATCCTTGGGGTCCAAAGCTAAACCAGACTCCACCCTTGCCTCCAATTAATGCCAATACTTTCTGTCATTTTTAGCGAAAAGATACCATACAACAGTCTGCAGTGGGGCTGTTCCCGCCTTCCTCGTGCCTGTTCCCAGTCTACTGTAGAAAGGAGCTCAGCACCATCCGTCCTCCCTTGGAAGGCCTGGTCTGTGCCAAGCTGCACTCCGTCCAGTCCTCCTGAGGATGGAGGCTGCTCCTTCAAGACATGGAGCGTAGAGCCTTCCTCCTCCTCGTGGGTGGCTGTCTTGCTACATCCTCGAGGGCTGAGCTACAGCCTGCTCCTATGCCCCCGACAGAATAGCCTGGGGAGAGAAGAGGGTGCTGAGGAGAAGGAAAGAAAACAAAGAACTTCCAGAATCATACAATCAGTTGTCTGAACTCATTTATGTGTTTTGCTTTAAACCAGAGAGGATAGGAAATAAACGGGAAGGGCCGAGCGTGTTCAGGTGCTTGGCGTACACCACAGGCAGCTGGCTGTGTGGCTGTTCTCCTCGGCCCGTGGTGCAGCCCGTCTGCACCATTAGGTCCAGCTCCAGGGTCTGTGCCAGTGACAGCTGACGTCACTCCCCCGTGCCTGGCCCCTGGGGGCTGGCGGCTGTGATCACCCCGGTCTGTGTGGCTGCAGTCCCACTGGGCTCCTCCACCCGGGATCTCTTGACCTCGGGCTCCCCGCTGGAAGAGGCTGAAGCAATGGTGGCAGTGGCTGGGGTGGTGGTGGTGGTGGTGGCAGTTGTGGTGGCTGCTGCCCCGACTGCTGCTACTGTCTCCTCGGGCCCCACCTCGCACACCCGGGTGACCACCACTGGTGTGGATGAACTTGCCTGGGCTGCCAGTAGCTGCAGGGGGCTGGTGAGGGCTGGGGAAAAGGAGGAGAAGGTTAGTCTCAGAATCTGGCTAGGACCAACACTGGTTCTTCTGGGTACGGGGCTAAGTGATCCCTCTAGAACACTCACCACCCAGCTGAAGCAGCTCTTGGTGCTGGTCCTTGGCCAGCTCCCACCCAGATCTGCTCCCCACAGGCTACGCACCATCCCCTCCTGGACCTCAGAGCTCCTATCACTGCCATGTCCCTCCCAGATGTACCAATAGCACACTCCCTCACCTCCTTCACACCAACACCACACGTTCTGAGCTGTCCTACTTAAATTGAACTCCAACACCCTGCCCTGTCCCTGGCATGCTGGTCACCTTTCTTTCTTCTGTGACTTCCCAACTCAACCCAGCATGGGGTTGGGAGCACTGTAACAGTGGGGATGTCAGGTTCTTTCTTCTGGGCTCTTTTCCCAAACATGCCTAGCACACATAAGGGTCATAAGAAAACTGACCAGATGACTGGGTGGTATTGGAAAGACATCACTCCTGTGCTGCACTGACTAGGGTGGAACCATAGGGCTTAGGGTACAGCTTGCAGGGTGGCCAGGCCTTACCGTAAGTGCTGCCAGCTAAGCTGTTTGTGGGAACAGCATGCTTTCCGTTCTGAGTGACGGCCCGAACTGGAAGGTGGTGCTGCCCAATGGCCACTGGTGTGGCCGGCTGCAGGATGGTGACTGTGTGTCCAGGGACTCCTGGAGCCATCTGGCTGGCCACTGTCTGGATGACTCGGCTGGCGGCAGGGATGGTGGCAAATGCGATGGTGGGTTTCTCCTCCAATCCTATGGGACACGAGTATATGAGAGCCAGCCGTGGCCAATGAACAGTGGGTGCCCATGGCTGCCTGGGCAACAGGCCTTCAACCATGAACTGGAAGCTGAGATGGGGAAAGACTGGTTCTCAAAAGAGAAGTCCCACTGATAAAATGTGTTTTGAAAAAAAGAAACATGATCATTAGGGTTTTAGAAATAAATACCTTAAAGTGAAAAAACAAAAAACCAAAACCAAAAAACAACTTTTTAATTACCAGAGGGGGTGTGTATGCTTTCCAGAGGGAGTTAGAGAAGAGAGCAAAAACAAGAAAGAACCCACCAATGGGGCACAGTCATGACACAATCCTTCCTCCTCTATTTCTCCTTCCCATCAGGATTTTGGGCATACATATACAGGTACCCAGCGAGTCTCTTAAGCTGCTGGGCAAGGACTCGAATTGTGGTTTGCAATGTGGGATCTGGTTCCCAATGCACACTGCTTAACCACTGCACTATGGGGCCGGCCCTAAATCCTCTAAGATTTAACATACCCAAATTTAATCTGAGCAATAAATTGTATTATTCGGAATGAAATGATTTGCTTCTAGAGTTATAATTTAGTCTTCTTTCACCACAGCACAACTTTAATATGACAGTATGAAAATAAAAAACTACTGTTGACATCAAGCCAGTAGTGTAAATAACAAGTTAGGAGATACTGCTTGATTTGAAAAATTACTGAGAAAGGGACCAGGGAGTGGTATAGTGGTAACACAACTGAACCCACATAGAAAAACGTCCTGGGATCACATCCCAGGACTTCACCAAGCACCCGAGTGTGGGTGCACACATGTTCATGGTCTGGGCTGGCTGAGGCTGGGGGGTGGATCAGTGTTCGTGTGGGATGCCTGAGTCTTGGTCTCTTATCTCTCTCATGGAAAAAAAAAATAAATGAATAAACTTTTTAAAAAAGTATTCTGGAGAGGATCTTTTACAGTATTAGCTGCATTTTCAATGTCTATCCCATTATTTCCCTGGGATCCAGATTTCCTTTAGGAATTCATAAAAACTTTTCACTCTAAATGACTTCTAACAACTCCGCACTGGAGCTCTAAAGGAGCTCGTTCTCCTAAGCTATTCTTTCTCCCTTAGAATGCATTAAATTGCAATTTTATGCAAGGCCACACAACTTAGTGTCAGCTTAAGGATAAAAACAAACAAACAAAAAAAATCAAGGAAACAGCTATGTGTATCTGAAAGCATAATTCAATAAAAGAATGCCTTTGAGGACGATGAATGCTGATGTAAAAGGACACATTCCCTAAAAGACAGAAAAGAGAACATCTCTTAGCCTCTGCCCACCATGTGGGCTCAGAGTGCCCCAGGTCCAGGCTGAAGGTAACCCCTTCTGGAAGGCAATGACAATCATGTTGAGTTTGGGCAAAGTGGCTGTTACCTCTGGCTTCGCTGCCCAAGTCCAGCACAGCAGTGCCTGCTGTGTCATGGGAGCCCCCTGCTGAGCCCTGGCTGGTGAGGATATATCCATTGGCAGAGCTGGCAGAGGTGGTGACCACCCTGACCATGGTGACGGTGGGAGCTTGCTGCACCACATGGATGGCGTGGCCTGGGGGCTGCTGTGAGGTCACTATTGAAGCTGGCATGTAGGCCACAGGTTTGGCCACTAAATTGGATGGCCGGGGTGGCACCGCCATGATCACTGGCTGGGCACTGACGGGGGAGCCTGGATGGGAGACAAAGAAAGATGTGATGTGTCACACACACCAGGCTTTGCCCTTCTTGCTAGGCATTGTTCTTGGTTCTGCCATATTTAGTAAAAGGATAAAACTGTTCTTTACCAGGTGCACTTTGGGAATACCGATACTCTGGAACTGAAGCTAATTTTGACCCAAACTCAGGGTCATGTGGAATGGGTGAGCCCTCCCGGGATAGGCACTCTGGAGTCTGCAGGCCACTGGAACGAGGGGACATTAGCCCAGGGTGAGTGGGTGAGGCTGGAGCACTCCTAGAAAGAAAAAGAAAGGACCATGGAGAACGTGCTCAGATGTGGAAAAGACACTTGACCACACATTCCACATGTCAGGGCCATACCCCACCTGGCCCTGGCCCTGCCCCAGGCCTCCCAGTGTTTCTCTGTGTACTCCCAAGGTGTTTCCAACACTGATGTCCCAGACAGTGACAACTGCCACTGCATTTAACATAAACCCAGCATTTAAAGTTGCAGTCAATGCGGGAGGCTCCATTAAATGGAAGGAGACTGCCAAAGTTCTAGTTCCCCAGGAAATACTACAATCAATAGCACTTATTTCCTATAGGCACCACCCTGTCTTCCAGAAAAATGGCTCAGCCTGTATCAGATCAAAAGCCTTGGTGTCTGATAGGTACATCTACCCACAAGGAAAACTTGACAATTCAGAGAGCAAAACCAGCTTTGGCGAACTACCATTTATTTTGCATAAACAATAATCCAAGGATGCTTTTGACCTGGGTTCTAAAATAAAGCCTCCTCATTGGCTGCTACCAGCCAGGGATGGGAGGGGACAAGCTATGGCACAGCTGAGATCCGAAGTCCTGGAGACAGAATCAGTTTTCTTCTTGGGAACCAGCAAACGAACGCATGTACAGCAAGAACATGCAGCCCACCTGTGCCACTGAGTGTGCAACACAGGTTGTGTGATGTACACTGACAGAGGCAGAAGCCAGGTGGGGAGAGAAATGGCCCTAATATCCCACTTATAATCTGTGCCCACTGAGGCCCCACAGGCAGACCTAACCGCTCTCTCCCACTCTTGCCCCTCTTTGCTGCCCCACAGCCTGGTCTGTGTCTTCAGACCACTCTTGACCTCTCCTCTGTTCCTCATCCTGGATCTGGAGGCCAGCCTGCTCATTCCACTTTTCACCTGACTCATTTGCAAACAACACTGGCAGGACCTAGCCCAACTCTCAAGGTCCTCTCTGATCGGGCCTTCCTCTACTAACATAATCCTGTGTCCTGCTGCCTCCATCCAAAGAAATCCAGTCTCTGGAAGTCAAGTCAGTCTCCTCCTTCCTCCTACGTTATCTCACTGGTCACCTGGGTCTTCTGTCATCTGATTTCCCCACGTAGATCCTACTTGGCGCCACGTCACACCTTCCACACTCTTT